CAAATTCATGACTGGAGGGAGACCCACAGCTGCCCCAGCTGCACCCCCTCAGCCCTCTTCCAAGGCTCAGGTCAACACCACACCCACATTAATTTGCTGAAAAATAAATACCAAGAGGTCAAACAGTGGCAACTAAGTGAATGGTGATGCTACTTACAAAAAGTGGTTAGGAGGAAAAGCAAGGTCCAGGGGAAAAACTTTGCAAACATGTGTTAATGTCTGCAGTTTACCCTGCCAAACTGGCCTCAAAAGTGCCTGTTAGCTGACAAGCCACTTTCTTCTGTATATCTCTGACCCTAGTTCCTGGGCTGGGCTGGTTCTCCTTGGGCAAGAATGGCAGCATCTATTGCTAGAGAGGTGTCTGCCTGGAAAGTGTTGAGGTCAAGATGATCATTTCCTGCCTAACTGTTTAGAGTACAGCCTGGGAAGACTCTGGATAAGAAGATAAAACACAGCCCGAATGATTCCGAGGCAAGTGCAGGAGGACCAATGCAGCCCAGTGAAACAAATGCCAGATGAGTCATCTAAAGGAACTGAGTTCAAGTCCTGGCTCGGCTCCTTATTAACCTGGATGGCCTCAGTTAAATCCCAATCTAACCTAGGCTTCCACTTCCTTCAGTAGAATAAGAGGGGTTTGGCCTAGATGTTTGCTTACAGGTCCCTCTAAACTCAGGGTATATCACAGAGGCTCCCTACATCAATGAAAAGTCTGCCATGAGTCAAAATTTCTTCCAAGTGACAGAAGAAATGAAGTTTCTACTATTCCAAAGCTGAAATCATATATGGCCAATGAGGCACAAAGCTACCAGTAGGCTCGCCACACGGCACTGAAAGGTGTCGTCCCAAATATTTGGTTAAGGCCTTTAACTCAGATCTCTGAGGCATGCCCACGCGCGCGCACACACACACACACACACACACTCTCTCTCTCTCTCTCTCTCTCTCTCTCTCTCTCTCTCTCTCTCTCTCTCTCTGTCTCTCTCTCAGTTAAGGGCTTTGGGAGCTATAGCCAAGATTCATTTCTGAAATAGCCACAAGATAGTCACAGATCCAATCTCTACTTCCCAATTTCAAACAAACATTCCAACTTGTGTGATTACTCTGAAAACCAAAGCAAAATCAGCCTTCTCCAAAATTTATGGAAATTCCAAGAGAACTTTTCATTACTCCCCCCCAACACTTCAGACAGATAAAGGAGTTGGCTTTTAGAAAAAGTACTTTGCATCCATGGTCCCCCTCCCAATCCCACCTTGGACAAAAGGCCAGTCAGTAAGAAAGTTTCTTGGGCATTTCCTTCTGCCCTACAGAGAACAGCACCCACACAAGTGACAAAGGCTCCTAAGAAAGCGCTTAACAGCAGCCATGGTGGTGGGAGGAAAGTTTTGAATTTTCTTTTCCATTTTACAGAAAGTTTAGTTCTCTCTGCCTCACATTTGCAGTGTTCAAGTTTCCTAATGCACTCACCACCAAAACAACTCAAGGCAGCATCAGACTCCATTCATCAAACGATCCTAGTAGGGCCATCAACTCAGATGGGAAGTGGCCATCTTCACATTCAGCCTGGCTTTCTGCCAAGGGCCAATTCAGGCTCCTTTCTCATCAGCCCAAGGAAGAGTCCGCGCTAGCTTCCCTTACTTTTGCTAAAAGCAACAACCAAAGTGACTTTTTGAACAAACCAAGCCCTTGCTGCATGCTTCTTTTGATTAACTTATATGACACTGACCCAGTAATCAATTTCAGCTGGTGTAAGACCTCTGAGGGTTAACTCTGCCATAAGGGTTTGGAGGCAGCTGGGTGGTGCAGTGGATAGAGTGCCAGGCCTGGAGCCAGGAAGACTCCTTTCCCTGAGTTTGAATCTGCCCTCATGCACTTACTAGCTGTGTGACCCTGGGCAAGTCCTTTAACCTCGTTTGCCTCAGTTGCAAAATGAGCTGGAGAAGGAAATGGCAAACTCATCTAGTGCCTCTGCTGAGAAAACCCTAAATGGGGTCACAAAGAGTCAGAAATTCCTCCTCCTCAACAACAACAGCAGCTTTGGAAGCAGCTTCTGGGACAAACTGGAGGGACTGGTCTGTGGGAATATGGCTCCAACACTTGACTGACTTCAGTTATGTAACAGGGTACCCACAGTTATCCATTCCTCTGCCCAAGGTGCTAAGGGGGTAGGAAAATGTGTGCTATATAAATGGAAGGAAGGTCATATTCACCTAAGTCGACCAACACATTCATCTGAGTAATAATAATGGCTCTGCAAGTCCTTCCTTGGTGGGGAAGTCTGAGTTGTAGGGAGAAGCTGTATGGTGGGCTGGGGAGCCCAAGGTCCTTCTCTGGCATACAACACTGTGAGAGCTGGGCAAGTCAACTTGCCCTCACTGCAGAGCTGCCCAATCAATTCAGGGACGCAAAATCCCAGACCCCCACGGGCCTCCCCAGCCTTTCAGACACAGCAGGGAGGTCCTGCTGGCTGCTGAAGTCGCTCCCTCCCAACTCTCCAAACCTGTGCTTTTGTTGAGTGTGGAGAGTTCCAGGTTTTCCTCCAGACTACCTTGTTGGGCAAGTTCAGCTTGGTAATCAAGCAGAGCCAGGATCAGCAGAGGGTTGACCACCTGGCCTCCCATATTTTCGATCCCTACCTCTGGCAGTAGCTAAGCAATCAAAAGTCCCAAATCAAAAGAGATCTTTCTACCATTCATGTGGCCCCCCGATCCAACATGTACCTTAGAAGCAAGAATTCCAAGGCCTGAGCCCACGAAGGACACAGCAGGCCCGGTCACCTTCTCTAATGGAGTACAATGAAGAGAAAGGCTCCAGGCAGAGGAGGGGAGGGGGACAAGGAGGGGGACAGAGAAGGCTGGGGGCTTTGCAAAAGTGCTCCCTGAAAAAAAGCAAGCTGTCCACAAACCCAATGGAAAAGGAGGTCAGTCCCACGAGCAGATAGATGCCCCGGGCGGAAAGAAGATCACATAAGTAGCCTGCTGTATACAGTGGCGCTGGCTCCCAAGAGTGAAGAGCAGACTCGGGAGAAGCGGCTAATTTTAGCAGGGAGGAGGAGGGGGAAGGGGAGGAAGATGGAGGGGATGGGGAAGGGGAGAGGAGGGAGCAGGAGGGGACCGACTGGCCCAGACACAAAGAATCCCCCGGCACGATGGCCCTAACTCCCAGGTCTCAGTGCTCGAGGGGAGGGGTGAGGGTCTCCCTTCTCCCCTCCACATCCTGGCCGAGCGCTTTGTCGTCCCCCCCCTTCCCGCTCGCTCAAGCCACGTGCCGGGGGATCCCCGGGTTCCCCCAGATGCCGCCCCCCCCCCCCGCGAGCATCCTCCACCCGCCCGGAGGCTCTCTCCCCTCAGCCTCCACTGGTCACCCCCCCCAATTCGCAGCCAGCTCAGAGGATGGTGGGGATGAGAGGATGGGGGGATGAAGAGGTCCCCGACTTCTTCTCCCCGCCCCCCGCCCCGCGCGGTCCCTCACCTGCGGCCTCAGGGTGGGGGGGCCGACACGGCCCGGCCGGGAGGGGGGAACGCGGCCTGGGCCCCCCGGCCCCCGCCTCCTCCTCCGCGCCGCCCTCGGCTCGGCACCGGCGGGGGGGAGGGGGGGCGTCGAAGGCGGATCCGGCGGCGGGGGGAGGTTCGCACAGGCTGGCCCGCTCCGCTCCGCTCCGACTAGTTCCAGGCCGCGCCGCGGGGCTCCCCAGACCCCGCTCGTCCGTTAGCCCGGCCACCAGCAGCCCACCCGCCCGGCCGCTCGCTCCGTCGCCGGCTGCGCGCTCCCCGGCCGAACGGCCGGCCGCCAGGGGGAGGCCGCGAGGCTGGAGCTCGGTAGTCGGCGGGTGGGGGGGGGGCCCCGGGAGCCGGGAGGGAGGGGCGAGCGAGGGCTCCGCCCTCGGGCCGCTCGGTGCGCCTGCGCCCAAGGAAAGAAGGAGGGAGGAGGGGAGACAAGGTGGGGGGGGGAGACGCACCGAGCGAACGAACGCCCTCCGGGGAGACCCAGGGGGCCCGAGCGCCAGGATCGACCCCGTCTGCTGGGTCTGGGGGTTTGAGCCAGGGTTTATCAGGCGCGCGCGAACGTCGACTCCGGGGAAACAGCGCCGACGCAACAGAAACCAGGCGTTCGGTGCGCATGCGCACCCGCTCGCGCCCATCCCCCCTTCCCCCCCACCCCGGCTGCAGCTTAGGACCCGCACGCACGTTCTCCTCCCCCCCCCCCCCGCCCGCCGCCCCAGGTGCGCGATAAGGAGGGACTGACACGCTGCCCCCTGACGGGCTTGGGGGCATTTCTGGGAAATTGATCCCTCCAGAGTTAGCCTGGCGGGAGACGTAGGATCCTCAGCGGATCTCCCCACACCCCGCCCCCTCTTCTCCCTCCTTCCTTTGCCCGCTTCTCCCTTTCCCCCTGCCCATTATCTACTCTCGTCCTTCCCCCTCCTTTTCCTCTCCACTTTTTCCTTTGCCTCCATACTCCACTTTCCCCTCTATCCATCCTCTCCTCCTTCCACCCCGTCTCTCTCCTTCCCATGCCATCTCTTCTCATCCTTCCTCTCTTCTTCCCATCCCTCCTCTCCCCAATCCATCCCTCCTTTCCCCCTTCCTCTTCTCCCTCCATCCCTCCTCTAGCACCCCTCCACCTCTTTCCCCACTCTCCTCACTCCTCTCCTCCATCCATCCCTCCCCCTTCCTCTTCTCTCTCCACCCCTCCTCTCCCCTTCCCATGCCGCCTCTTCTCATCCTTCCTCTCTTCCCGTCCCTCCTCTCCCCCATCCATCCCTCCTTTCCTCCTTCCTCTTCTCCCTCCATCGCTCCTCGCGTCCCTCCAACCTCTTTCCCCTTCTCTCCTCTTCTCCCTCCGTCCTTCCTCTCGAGCCCCTCCACCTCTTTCCCCTACTCTTCCCCAGCCATCCCTCCTTCCCCCCTTTCTCTTCTCCCTCCATCCCTCCTCTCGACCTCTTTCCCCTCGTTTCCTCTCCCGCACCAGCCAGCCTCCTGGGGGACTCAAGCCCACCCTACCTACAGTACACCGTGGCTCGAGGACATCGAAGTCGTCGTCGCGTGGCCGGCCTGAGACCTGAGAGGGACTGGCGGGGGGAGTAGGCGGGGCGACGGGAAAGGGGCGGGGCAGCGGAGCCTTCGAAGTTACCTAGGCCACGCCCAGGGCGGGGCGGAGCGTTCCACCCCGGCACGTGCTGGGCGCGTGCCGCCGCCGCCGCTCCCGCTGCGCCTGCCGGTGACGTGAAGGCGCCGCCTGCGCCGCCGCCGCTGCCTCTGCCTCCCCGGCTACCGCCAGGTGCTAGTGGTGTGGCCCCGCGCGAGCGCCGCCCCGGCGTCCAACTCCTTTCACCTGATTGGAGTGAGGCGGCTTGGAACGCGGGAGACGCCGCTGACGCCAGCAGCCTGCGAGAACAATGGGCGATTGCGGGGGGCGGGGGGAGGAATCAGGGAAAGAAGGCAAAGAAAGGCCTTCCCTTCGCGGCGCCTGGGCCTACCTCTGTTACCTAGGCAACGGGGGAGCTTCCCTTCCCCCACCCCCAACTGGGGTGCAGCCTTTTGGCAGCACACTCTGGGTTATTTCAAGGTGCTGCTTGGCCTCTCCTCGCAGTCCCACGCAGCTAGCTTCATCTCCTCCTCCAGGCAAACCTGCCTTCCCAAGTTTTTTACTCGAGCCCCACAACATCCCTCTTCTTAATTAGAGTCGCTTCCCACAAGTAAACCATCACAACTCAAGTCAGGAGCCCTCCATGGCTCCCTACTGTCCTTTGGACTAAGCAGAACCTTTGTTTCTGCTTGGCATCCACGGTCCCTCCAGGGTGGAGATCTAACCCTGACTTTTCTATGTCTCTGACTGCCTGCCGGTAGTTGCTTGTGGTTCAAATAACACCTCCAGGACCTGGATGCTTTTCTGTCACCAGACTTTGCTTCCTCCCCGACCTGTCCTACACCTTGGATTATGGTCAAACTGTAAGCTGGATAGGGAACTGACCTGGGAGTTAGAAAGACCTGCACTCAAATCCAGCCTCTGGGCACATTTTGGGCAAGTCACTTAACCCCTCAGAGTCCCTCCACAACCCTCTAAAACCATAGGCAGGTGACTGAGAAGTTGCTAATCTACATTAGTGAAAGGGGTGTCCTCATGGGGACCTCCATATACAAGTCAGCTCCCCCCCCCATTAGAATCATTAGGGTTACTAATTATTCTTCTTTGGCCTCTGACTAATTGAATTAGTCAGCTAAATGAATGCTGGCTTATCTTTCCTACTAGACTGCATTGTCCCTAGAGAGAGAGCAGGTATTTCTTTAAAGCAGTAGCTTCCTGCTGTGGAAGAGGCCTGAGTTCAAATTCCAGTTCAGCCTCTTAACTAGCAACAGGACTTGGAGCAAGTCAGTTCCTCTTGCTGGGCTTCAGTTAGCTAGGTCCCCTGATGGACAGAATGGCAATACATTCCCCACTTCAATTCTGACAGTGCTAAGGACAAGGGAGCTGCTGTTGCTGCTGCTGCTGCTAGTAGTAGTAGTAGTAGTAGTAGTAGTAGTAGTAGTAGTAGTAGTAGTAGTAGTAGTAGTAGTAGTAGCAGTAGTAGTAGTAGTAGCAGTAGTAATAGTGGTGGTGGTAGTAGTGGCAGTAGCATTTTTCCTCATCTGGATTCAAATCCTAGCTCCAGTCCTCACTAAATGTGTGATCTTAGACAGAGAGTTCCCTTTTCTGGGCCCCAGGTTTTTTTTTTGTTTTTGTTTTTTAAGCCTGTCCCAAACCTAGATCCGTGCTCATGTGAATAAGTGTAGGGCCTTGACATATGAATGGTGCCCATTTCCCCCCAACTTGAGGCCTCATTTAGAGTCTGTCCAAGGAGCCCACAGCTTGAAGGTGCACCCATCAGGCCATGGAAGGACTCCCCGTTCTGGAATGTCCTCAGAGAGATCTTCTAGACTCTGTAGTCCAATCTGCCATTCCCCTCCAGGAAAATGCCTTTGGAGATGCAGGGAGGCATTGTACAGTAAGGCAGCCAGAATTTCCTTTCAATCAACACGGACACAAAGAGAAACTTTGTGCCCCAGAATGAGGCTCCCCCCCAAAAAAAATCTCTCGGGCTCTGTCATTCCCTTTTTCTGTCCCTTGCTCCATTAAATGTCATGAAGCAAACATCGACTCCCTGCTGTGTGTGAGGCTTTGTGACGGAGCAGTATTTCCTGACCCCCTCCCCTACTCTGCAATGGAGGGGTGGGGTTGGGCCAGATCCTTTGGAGCTCCTTCCCCCTACAACTCTGACCTCCAATTCTAAAAGAAGGTCCTTAGGCAAGACTGGGAGGCTTACACTTTTTCTTTGTTTCCCTTTTGAGAAGTTTCCAGAGCTTCTCTGGAACCCTGAAGGGGGTGTGGGGAGTAAGAGAGTAGGGTAATTTAACAGCAGTATTGAGAATGTACTTCTGTTTCTAAACATGTTTTTCTAACCCTACTGCTGGCCATGATCTTCCCTCATTCAATCCCCCATCACCAATTGCCTATTGGATATTTCAGACTGGATGTCCCAGAGACATCTCTAATTTAACACATCTAAAACTGAACTCGTCTTTCCTCATAAACCCTTATCTCGCCCCAACCTCCCAGTTTCTGGGTTCATAACCTGGGCATTCATTGCCCTTGACTCCTCCCTCTCCCTGAGCCCACATATTCAATCGGTTGCCAAATCTTGCCTACCCCAAGACATCTCTCCCATCCAATCCCTTCTCTTGACTTACACAGCTACCACCACCCTGGTTCAATCCTTCATCACCTCACCTCACTGGCCTCTCTGCCTCCAGTCCATCCTCCAAGCAGCAGCCAAAGTCATTGCCCTTAGATCTGACCCTGTGACACTCCAGTGGATGTGATCCATTTACCTTTCCTAGAACAAAGCAAATTCACCAGACTTTCAAGCTAGAAGGAATCTTGAAGATCATGAAATTGAACCTTCATTTGACAGAAAGAAGGAAAACTGAGGTCCCAGATGGGTAGAGAGTAGCTCAGGTCCACATCCCAGAGTAAAATAGAGATAGTGGGTAAAGTTCCAGAGCTGAAAAGTGACCTCAGTCCCCTAGTCTGACCCACTTACTTTGCAGGGAAAACTGGTTAGCATTGAAGAAAGTCAGAAAGGACTGCTTCTAAAGAAGAAATTGAGGCTCGGAGAGGTCCAGGGCCTTGTATGGATGTATTTCTATGCCCTGTATGCATCTGTCAAATGAGATCCTATTTGTACAAAGCAGTTAGCAGTGCCTCACACATAGTAGACATTATATAGAGGCTTCTTCCCTTCCCTTCTCCTTATATATGGGGGGGGTTGTCAATGTTTATTTAATGACACTTAATGGAGAGAGAAACAGAAAAGGGGAGAGATGTGGAAAGAGGGACCCATACCCACCCACCTATAGGCATACACACACACACACACACACACACACACACACACACACACACACACACACATAGAACAGAGAGGGGGTTGGGGGAGAAAACATAAGGGGGAGAGGGAGGAGAAAGAGAAGGAAGGATAGAGAAAAGGAAAGATCGACTGGGGCAGAGACAGAAATGGACCGAAAGGACTGAGTCGAACCTCTAGAGGGAAGGAAGGCCAAGATAAGGATACACATAGATAGGACAGAGACAGAGAGAGACACAAATGACTCTACATGGAGTATGATAGGGAGAGAAATAAAACTCAGAGAGACAAATTCCCAGATAGGGGTGGACCACTGGAAGACACAAGAGAGAGTCTCTCAGTGAGGCCAAATAAATAGAAGAATCCATCAAGTTCTCCAGCCCATTTGAATTCCTACATTTGGCAGCAAACAATTCTCCAAATGAGTGATTTAAGGGTAAATCTGTGGCCACCTTGGAGAGAAGAAAAGATCAGGAGCCCAGAAATAACACCTATGTTATTCAATTGAGATAATAAATCTCAGGGAATTCTTTGAAGGTGGCTAAAGCCGCCTCAGATTTGGGCAATCTCCAAATCTATTTCCAGTGGGGAAGTAGTGTGCAGCCTCCTAGATGGTGCCCCACCATGCCCCTTTGAGAAAAGTATCAGCCCCTCTCTGCCAGGCAGGTGCTGGTCAGTTTTTGCTCACATCTCAGGGGTAGAGACTCCAAGGCAGGGATTAGTAGCCAAGCTAGGCATTACCCTTGTCTCCCCTACCGTGCTTTGGGATCTGACATCCTCTCTGTGGGGAAGGGGGAGGGCTTGTCAGCTAGCTGTGGGATGTAAGACAAGTCGTGGGGAAGCCATTAGGCCTGGCTAGGATGCAGGTTCTGTTTGGTATGGGTGCAGGTGTCCAAGAGAGTGAATGCTTTCATTCTCAAGATGGCTTGACCATCAGCTTATGCAGGCCAGGCCTCGTGGCAAAACAAAGGACAAAGGTGCCAGGCATTGTTGTTCTTGGCCTAAATTGCTGAGTTAGCTCTTTGAATTCCCCTGAGTCCGTCTCCATACTCTAAAGCATGCAGAAGATACAGTGGTCAGGTTGACCTTCTGGGCTTTCTGTTCAGGATTTTTTATTGGGGGTGTCTGCTATCTATGAGATAGGCCAGCAGGCAATTACTGGGGTGGGGGGGGGGAGGAACTACAGTAGACTCTAATTTAAAGGGACAGACAGAAGCACACCTTGAGGGAATGATGGAAAGGGACAAATACAAAGACCTAGTTAGGGAAGGAAGGAGATAGTCAGAAATGGACTGGGGGGGGGTGGCACAGAGAGATGAAATCAGTCAATTGCTCAGTAAATATTTATGAAGTACCTACTATGTGCCAGGCACTGTGCTAAGCACTAGGGATACCAAAAGAGGCAAAACTAGTCTCTGCTCTCTAAGAGCTGCCAGTCTAATGGGGGAGACAACAAAGCTATATACAAACTGTACTAACAAGCTACAGGATAAATAGAAAAGAATTAAGAGAGAGAAGACTTCCTGAAGAAAATGAGATTTAGCTGGGACTTCATGGAATCCAGGGAAGACAGTGGCTAGAGGTGAGGAGAGAGAGAGCGTTCCAGGTATGGGGACAGGTAGAGAAAATGCCCAGAGCTGAAAGATGGAATGTCTGCTTTGAGGAACAGCCAGGAGGCGAGTGTCACTGGAAGATGTGCAGGTGCATGCCAGGGAGTCGAGTGTAAGAAGACTAGAAAGGGAGGAGGGGACAGGGTATATGAAAGGCTGGAAAGCCAAACTGAGATTTTGTATTTGATCCTGGAGGCCAAAAGGAGCCACTGAAGTTTATTTTGTAGCAGAGGGGGCACCTGCACTTTAGGAAGATCGCTTTGACACCTGAATGCAAGATGGACTGCAGGGGAGGAATCTGAGGCAGGCAGACTCTGGAGTCAGTTATTACAGTAGTCCAGGTGTGAGGCCATGGGGGAGGAGACCAGGGTGGGGGCAGGGTCAGAGTGGAGAGATACTTCAAAGGTAAAATTGACAGGCCTCAGCAACAGGTTGGATATAGTGGTGAGGGAGAATGGAACACAGGCTGAGACCTGGGTTGTCAGCCTGGAAGATTGAGAGGATGGTGTTGCCCTCCACAGTAATAGGGAAGGTGGGATGAGCAGATTAGGGCAAAGAGGAGTTCCATTTTGCTTGTATTCAAGCTGCCTACTGGACATCCAGTTTAAGATGTCTGAAAGGCAGTTGGAGATGGGAGATTGGAGGTCAGCAGAGAGGTTGGGGGCAGAATAGGTAGCTCTGAGAATCAACCATCAGCATAGAAAAAGGTCGTTCAATTCATGGGAGTTGCTGAGCTCATCAAGTGAGGCAGGAGAGAGGAGGGGAGAGCTGAAGGCTCAGGACAGAGCCCAGGGAACCCCTACGGTTAGAGGGCGAGATCTGGAGGAGGAACCAGCAAAGGGGCAGTCAGAGAGGGAGGAGGGAAGCCAGGACGGAGAAGGGTGTCCTGGAAACCTAGAGAGAAGAGAGGATCAGGGAGCAGGGAGCAGAAAGCGCCCAACGACAGCGTCCAAGGCTGCTGAGGACTGAGAAAAGGCCACGGGATTTGGCAACTAAGAGATCCTTGGTAACTCTAGAGAGAGCAGTTTGGGTGGAATGACAGCCGGATTGTAAGCAGAAGAGAAACATGGAGCCATCTATTGTAGGCGGCCTTTTTCTAGGAGTTTCGACACAAAGGGCAGAAGGTCAATGGTAAGACCGTGGAAGGAGGAGACTGACAAGAGACAGAGACAGGGAAAAGGAAAGGGAGAGACACATGGAGACAGAGAGCCAAAGAGAGGGACCGAGACGCACAGAGAAAGGGACCCGCAGGGACACAGCAGATTAAAGGGCAGATGGGAAGAGAGCGGAAAGATGCCCAGAAACAGAGCCCAACATGCTAGGAAAGCCAGAAGCGGAGACGCCACAGAGCTGCACACAGACAGCGGCGGGGAGAGCGGCCCGCCTCTCCTCTGTCAGCTCGTGACTCTTTGGCCTGTGCCCAAAATGCTTTGCAGGGGGCCCTTCCCGATTCCTCGCCCCTGCCGCTTTGCTCCCCTTTCTCAGGCCGGCGCTCTCAGCGCTTTGTCTCCCCGGTGAGACTGGGGAGCTAGGGCAGGGCCTGGCTCCTGCCCTTTTTTCTATCCCCGGAGTTTAACCCGGCACGCAGTAGGCGCTTAATCAGTGCTTTTATTGACTGACTGCATGCAAGCTAGAGAACGCCAGGAAGATCCCCAGAAAAAAAGGACTGGAGGGGAGTTGGGTCGGGTCGGGTCGGGTCGGGTCGGTTCGGCTCGGTTCGGCTCGGCTCGGGACTGGCGGGCTCGGATCAGATCAGGAGGGCTTGGGGGAGGAGCTTAACCGCAGAGAAGGACCAGTCCCGCATGCGCGCGCAGGCGCCGGGGCGTGGACTACGTCGGGGGGGCGGCTGGGATTGGCCGCCCGCTCGCGACCAGCCCTGCGCGTGCGCACTGTACGGGTGCAGATTTCTTGTGACTGGCAGCGGTGGGGTCGGAGATGGCGGCCTCCACGGAGCGGGTATGGGCATTGTTTGGCGCCGGCGTTCGGACGGTGCTGGAGGCCTGGCCGGCGCTCCAGGTGAGTGCGCCAGAGAGGGGAGGGAGCTTCGAGCTTTCTTCTGCCCCAGACTGAGAAACTGAGGCGGCTCGGAGCCGGGAGCAGGGAGTGAGCGAGCGGGACCCGGAAGTGGGCGGGGAGGGGAGCGACAGGAGGAGGCGGGGGGGTGTGGGGGGGCAAGGGGAGCGGGCGGCCCCCATTCCCTTGCTGGGCTTGCCAGTGTCTCCTCTCCCAGATCGCCGTGGAGAACAGCTTCGGGGGAGTCCACAGCCGAGAAAAGGCCCTGTGGCTCGGGGGAGCTGTCTGGGATTATTTTGTCCAGAACGGTGAGTGAAGCACCAGTAGGGGATGGGATTCCAGAGCGCCTCGGCAGGCCCTAATTGGTGCCCTTGCCTGGGATCGATCCTTTCCCAGCTGACTTGGAGCAGGATGAGGTGGAAGACTTCCTGGCTGACATTATGAGCACCGAATTTGATACCCTGGTAGAAGATGGAAGCCTGCGCCAGGTCAGCCCCTCCTGCCCCAAGTCACCAGATTCTCCCTAAAGGCCAGCCCTCCTCATGTCAGGCCCTCCCCAGCCCTAGCCTCCCCACTGTTTTAGGGTAACTAAGGCCTTGCCTCTTCATTCTCAAGGCCCCACTCTAGATCCTCTTCTGGCTCTGTTGGAACAGCGACATGAGAATTTTTCCTGCCTCCAGGGTCTCCCCGTATTTTCGCTCCATCCTTAACAAAGCTTCCTGAGTAAAATCCTCTCTGTTCGACCTTTGATGCCTCTCTGCCCTCAAGCCCAGACTACCCCTTCCAACATATTCCCTGATCTCCATCTGCCCCCCCCCCCAAACATTCAGAACTAACCCGACTTGGGAGCTGGAATTCAAAACCAGTTTCCTTCATATTGGGCAGCTTCCATGTTACTTCACAGGCTGATTAGGAAGGCTACCTTCCTAACTCAGAAGTGTCATATCTTCTTCCTTTCATCTTTCCCCTGGCCTGTGACCATAAATGGGGACTCGAAAGTATACCTATGGTGGTGGTGGGGGGGGGTTCTACCAGGTAAGCCAACAGCTCCAGACGGTGTTCAGATACTGCCAGAGTGGTGAGGAACCCTTGCTGAGAGAGTTCATCACTCATATGGGCCAGAAGCAGATGGAGGTCAAAGCCATGGAGGTCCGGACATTCGAGCAGACCAATGACAATGATCCAGACCAGGAGGAAAACATAGATGGGGGAACTGAGGAAATGGAGGTGAGTAGGAGGGGACTGACTAGGCCAGAAGCAGGGGGAGACCTCTCCTCAACCTGATCGTAAAATTCATAACATTTCTTACTCACTTGGGCCTATCATTTTAGTTTGCCCAGATCTTTTGGATCCTGACTCCCTCCTAAATTGGTCATCTGCAGTTTTGATAAGCGTACAATTCCTTGGCACTCACTTTTCTTTTCTGTGAAATAAGGGATTTGTCCAGATGATTTCTAAGGATCCTTCCAGCTCATAGACCAGTGGTGCAAGGTCAACTAAAAATGGATCCCTGCCACAGATTGAGAAAACTGCAAATTAACATTAGCTGCATTACATTGTATTTTTTACTTGTTAAACATTTTTTCAATTACATTTAATCTGGTTCTGGGTAAGCTGGATGCCTCTCATGTAGACAGATTGTGGAGAAATACATTAGGCCAGCACCAGGACAAGGGTAAATTCCCGAGACATTCTTAAGAATCTCCCCCTACCAGGTTGACTAGAACTAACAATAACTAGCATTTATATAATGGTTTAAGGTGTGCAGAGCACTTCGTGGATGTTACCTCACAATCACTCAGTGAGGTAGGTGCTGTTACTATCCCAGTGTTATAGGTTGAGAGGCTGTAACATAAGTATCTGAGGTGGCATATGAACTCTGCCCTTCCTGACTCTTGCCCAAAGCTCATTCCACATTCCCTGCTTATTAATTCGGTATTGATGATTGCTCTTTGAATCCATTCATTGAGCCGGTTCTAAATTCACCTAGCCGTCCTGTCATCTAGCGAACATTTCTCCATCTCTTCTGCAACAATAGTATTTGGTTGAATGCTTTCAGAAAATCTCAGGAAACTCAGTTCCCATGATCTACCAGTTTAGTAACCTTGGCAGAAAAGCAATGAGGGTAGCTCCATCATAACCTGTTATTTATGTTAAACATCTAGAAGAAAGCTTGGACTGACCTTTGTGTGCTCTTAAGTTTCCATTGCTGCTTTCTTGAGATACTGGATACTGTGTTATATCAGGCTCTCAGGGACGATGCAAGCCCAGAACATGTAAGCTTTTAGTACTCTTGGCAGGGGTTTGATTCAGGACAAAATTTGTTCACTGCTCCCTTGCTCTTGAGTTGTACAAGTTCTTGACCTGGGTTTGGTGGGTCTGAGCAACACACCTGTGTGCTTGATCCACATTGGAGTTCTAGTAGACTGCTGCTGGACTCAAGCACTCAGCCAGCTGGAAAGCTCTATGGGTTCTGAGTGACAGAACTGCAGGCTCACCTTTAGTCTGGTATTCCTGTCCTGGTTATTCCCCTGCAGGCTTCAGACTGTGGTACTGGGGGTCATCGCCCACACAGCTGCAGCTCACTTCTGTAGTTGGCTCCTTTCCTAGGATGCATTAAGGGGCCCAGGACCACTCTTATCCTTCTCATGCCATCCTGCATTTATGACCTGGAGTTCAGTTGGCACCTGTTGCCGCATTCTTCAGGTCAGGCCCCCCTCTATTTGGGTCTAGGGTACAGCCTTGATCCTCTTTGAGTTCCTGCCCTGGAAAGCTCTGTGAGGCACACTTCTGGCTAGCCGCTCCCTCCCACCCCAGTGTCTGTGGACATCTTTCTCCATAGTAGGCCGTTCTGGACTGAAAAAAAAAAAAGACTTGCTATGATTTGTTTGCTTCTTGGTTTACCCAGTCTGGACTCAGTTTGGTGCATTTTCTAGATCTTTGTGGAAGAGTTGGGGGGGGGCATGGAGCTCTGCCATTGAGGTTCTACCTCTGTCACTTGGCCCTTTCTGATCACCACTTCTTCCTCTAGATTATCAGTAATGATAATAACTCTTTGAAGAAGTTCTACAATTTTGCCAGGAATTCAGCTCAAACTCATTGATTTGTTTGCAGACTTTTTTAGTCTCTTTAGAAAGTTGTGCCTTCTGCCAGTCTCCTGGTGCTTCTGCCACTGCTCCGGATTCGCTTGTAGTCAGCAGCTCATTGCCCTCCTTACTGGCTCAGCACAGATCTGATCTTAGCCATGGGAATGAGCCTCATTAGTATGAGCTCTGTTTGTCTTGGGCAGCCACTCCCTGTTAGCCATTTGGGTTCTGTGCTTTCCAGCCCAACAGCATTTTATTTAGCTGAAGAAATAAACAAAATATGAGTTGAGTAAGTCCTGCCATCTTCTGTCATCAGTTATTAGAGAGAGCATTGGGAAGACCCAAGTTCAAATCCAGCCTTAGACACTAGCTGGGCCTAACTCAGATTCCTCAAATGTAAAAAATGGAGATAATAATAGCATTTACCTCACTGGGTTGTTGTGAGAATCAAACAAGGTAGTTATAAAAGTTGCTTAGCACAGTGCTTGGCACACAGTAGGCCCTTAATAAATGCTTATTCCCTTATTGTGGCGCCATCAGATGCCTGAATTGTGGTTTTGCCTTCTCCTCATCAACCCCCCCATCCCTTTAATTTTCTCTCCTATCTGACTCTTACCGTGTCAGACTCATTCTGAGCTTTTTAAAGACACTTAGAACATTGCGCTTTTGCATTCGTCCTGCATCATTCTTGCCCTTGATGTTGTCCTCTTTATTTTTTATGTCATTTGATGAGTTCCTTGGGCCTCCACATCAGTCTCTTTAGACATTTGTCCTCATTAGAGCTGTTTCTCTGTGTCATCAGGTTCATTCTTGAAAATCCCATCTCTAAGAAGCAATTCCACCCAACCCCTCCCAAATCCTGTTCTCTCGGAAGTTGGTGCCTGTTGGACTGCCCAGCAAACTCTTAAGAATGGAAGGCTCACTTGGTTTCCATCATTTTTACTTCAACCAGTTTATCCTTTGGGTTAAAATCAAATCCATAATAAGTAGTTTCCCTCATTATTTCCTCTTTCTTTGGAAGTGATTACCAAAACAAGTCACCAAACTGTTGCTGCTTTGTTTTGAAGATGTTTAGCTGATGGTAGGTATTGCCCTGGGCTGAGCCTCGGAGGCCTTTTCTCCTCCTTAGCAGGGAGGCCACATTCTGCTCCCACAATGCTCTGGTGCTCTGCATCCAAATGTTTTCTTCTTGCAGGATTTCTTAACTTGAGACGGTCTTCATAAACATTGTACTTTTCCCACCCCCAGGCTGTCCTGTTCCTATCCAGAGCTCACTCATGTTCTCTCTCCCCCTTTCTCTTCCTTATTCTCCCCCCCCCCCTTTATTTTCTTTCCCTTCTCACTGGATGGATGGATGGATGATAGATACAGCAGTCCTGGGTTCCATTCCACCAGTTCCATTCAGTGATGGACATGAGGTCAGATTGGCCTCCTTGTGTTAGGACCCCCCAGGCCTACCCTTCTTGCTCATGACTCCAGCTTTGTGCCTTTCTTTCTTGACAACTGGGGACATGGCTTCTATTGCCGGTTCCTTCCTGGATTTTATCTTCTGTGAACACATGGTTTTCTCTTGCTCTTCTTCCTCTAGTCATCTTCATAGAGCTGTATGGGCAGGCAGTTTCACTCCCTTTTTGAGTTGAAAGTTGTTTTCTAATTTGATTTGCGGTACTCCAGCCTAGTCTATTTAGAGCAGCCTGGTTGGGAGCCTACTGCCTACCATAGCTGTTTTTAAGCCATGGTCCAGAAATTTAAAGCTTCTCACTTCCCCAAATTGGTTTCTGTCCCCTTCTATCCTCAGGACTGCTGGAGATAGCATCTGTAGCTCCAAAGCCTCCCAAGTTCTGTGTTCTAGGCTTTCTCCTCCTTGCAATATCATTTGTTCTCCTGTGAATCACTAGAAGGGAGCAGTCCTCTGTCACATGACCAGTGTACATGGGCAGGTGCTAGCCTATTGATGGACCTTGTCATAAGCCTCTCGTTTCCTTCCAGGTCATTGACATCAGGGAGACCCCTGCCCTGCCCTCTGGTGCCCAGGCTGGTCCATCAGCTGCCATTAAACTGGCTTCTGTTGGGCATGAAGCTGCTGAAGACGGCTGGATTGTTATCCAGAGGAAAAAGAAGTGAGAGCCTAGCCCTTCCCCAGTGGCCTGGGCCACACCTTCCAGGTGTGCTCCAGGATCTGTCAAGGAAGAGCATCTTCTGAGCCTCTTGCTTCACCCCATGCCATTCTCTGCACAGCTATGAAACTGGCCCAGAGCACCCAAAGGGGCCCCAGTCCGTGTGGAGTTCTCTATTTGAGAGCATTGGGTGCCTGGCTTTGACATTTACCAGTGTCATGTGATCTTCAGCAAGTCACCTGACCTCACTGGGTCTCCATTTCCTTATCTGTAAAATGGGGACAATAATGGCTTCCCAAGATTGGAGGGATAGACATTGACTTTGCTCTGCTTCACAGGAGCTGGGGGAGGAAGAAGGGAATGGAGATATGAAGTGTGGAAAGTGTTCCCAGCCTTTGTTCACCCCTGCTGTCGTTCCCCCCACCCCCCCACCTTCATCTGCTCAGAATCAGGGTCAGCTAGAAAGAGCAGTGATGTGACAGAAGGGCCCTCCGGAGCCATTCTCGACAAGCGGATATCTCCTTTCCCTCACCCCACCCACCTTCTCTTCACTCCCATGGCCTCCACCTTCCCTCATCAACTCTCACCTCGACTAAAGTAACCCCAAAACTCATTTCTTCTTTGTCCACTGCATCCTCCACACAGTTGCCGAAGTGCTCTTCCCAAGATTTGGCTATGTCACCTGTACTCAGATACATTCAGTGACTCCCTCTTCCTTCTAGGATAAACTGCAAAGTGTTCAGCCCGGCATTTAAAGGCCTGCATGATATTCCTTTCACCTGCTTTTCCAGGCTGATGGACCTGCCAGCCTTCCCACATTCCTCCCTTCTCCACATTATTAGTCTCTGAATCCTGACCCTCAAAGCTGCCTGGTAGACTTAACTAGGTAATGGGGCTCCCCTTCCTCATATGGACAGTCTGTGTTCTCAGTCACAATAAAGTAAGTGTGAAAGTTTGCAGAGTGAAAGCTGTTTGTGGGTAGGGCTTCTAGTCCTGGTCACTCACACTCACTAATCAGTGCTTGTGGGATGGAAATGAACTGAATTGGAAGTGAGTTGCAAGAGGTTTTTCTTTGTATCCCCAGCACTTAGCACACAATTGGTGCCTAAGAAATGCTTTCTGACTTGTTTGAAAACTAGTCTTCCAGCTTTGGAAGACCTCGGAGGAAGAGGAAGTCCCAAGCTCTGCAGGCCACAGCATATTCTCTTTGACAGTGGTTCCAGTTTCTAGGAACTTTGCCCCTTGACCTGCAGCTTTGTAACTCCCACACCCACTGCTTCCCTTTCCATCTACCTTTCCTCTAAAGGCTCCAGTTCTGTCTTGGGTTACTAGACTATTGGCCTCGCTCAGACAGATAAACACACAGTAATCAGGCTTCCTTGGAACTGCAACCAAAACTGTATTTTTCCGTTAAAACATCAAACCATATCTCCTTTTCCTAGTCCCCCAAATCCCCGCTGTCATCTGGTGTAGTGGTCCTGCCACTGGGGGGAAAGAGGAGATGCTAAAAGGCCTTCCAGTCCCAGCTGCATGCGAGGAGAGGGAAGGAAGCGTCCAAGTTAAGGCTTCCTCCCACCTCATTTTTTGGAGGTGAAAATTAGACCAAGAGAGCAGGGACTTGAAAACCAAAGAACTCGGACTCAAGAGACCAGCCGACCCCATCATTTTACAGATGAAGGCGTTGAGGCTCAGAGAGAAAAGGGAATTGAGATCAGAGACTATTAGTGCAGGACAGAATCTTAGAAATCATCTGTACCAAACCCTTGCGTAGGAGAAACAAGTCCAGAACTAGGAAAGGAGATGCTCCAGGTCATGGTAAATGAGTGATCAGGGACTGGGGTGAGGGGTGGGGTGGGGTGGGGTGGAAACGGACCCAGGGCTGACTCAGAAATTTCCTTTTTTAAGAACTAGAATTGAGAAGCCATTTAGTTCTCCCCAGTGCCTCTTTTATAGATGGCAACATTGAGTCGAGAGAGAGAAAGGATCATAAGAGTGTAAAAGCTGGAGAACGCATTGAAGATCAGCCATTGTTAAGAAAAGGACTTAGCACCATAGGTCCGAGTTGGAAGGGACCTTGGAGAGTTGGTGAAACAGGCCTATGGGGCGTGCAGCCTGCCCAAAGTCACAGCACAGCTGAGGCCTTTTACATGGGGGGATGGGGGTGGGGGTGGGGTAGGAGATGGGGAGGGCAGGGCTTTTTCTCTTTTTGAACTGCTCCGCCCCAAGTGAAAAACAAACATGAGGTTGGAAATTACAAAAACAAACCCCTCACATTTGGCTAAAATGTTGAAGAGCAAACCCCATAACAGGATCAAAAGTGCCCATGATCTGGAGTTCAAGTAACAAGGGGCAAGCAGCTTGCCAAGGGCTGGTGCTCAGCCCTGGAGTCCCTGCTTGGACGTGGAAGGAGGGGCTTCCAGCTCTGGACCCGGACCTGCTGCTATTGCTGAGGCTGCTGCTGCAGCAGCTGCTTCATCCTCCTCTCGGGACTCAAGAATGGAGGGGCCTGCCTGGAGCTCGTCCCCCCGGCCAGCTCGGGCCAACACCTCCATCCACCGCCTCTGAAGCTCCTCAGTCTCTGGGCTGAAGTACCAGGCTAGGTGACTCTGGGTGATCTTGAAGACATGGCGCCTTTCCTTGTGCTCATTGGCCTCTGGGGCCCCCACCTCAAAGCCAATAAGGGGCAGGCTTCTCTGGGCCTTCACATCCTAGGCCAGACAAATCAGACAGATGAGTAAGTATGGCCTCAAAGGAGCCTTCCCCCTCCCTCACTATACTCCAAGATTTTGTAGCAGTCAGTCGAGATTCTGCCTGGCTCGAAAGGCCCATTCTTCCAATCTGGCCTTAACGATTGCTTGTTTCTTGGCCGTCTAGTTCTTTATACTATTCCTTCCTATTGTTCAGCAGAGCCCAACTCTCCTTGGGAAGCATTCCTGGACTAATTTGGCCTGTACCCCCGTCTATGTTCTTCCTTCACCCCCTCCTAGGTCTGAGAGGAGAGAACAAAGATGAGGAAGAGAGAAGATAAGAGACCAGAGGGAAAAGAGGAATGATAAGGCCAGAGGGATGAAGAGTGGGAAGAAAAGAATGAGAAAGAGGAGAGTGTTAACAAAGGAGGAACGCTTCCCTGCCCCCCCCCCACCCTGCCCCAGTCCTGGAGGGAGGCACTAAGGCAGTCCAAGGGTTTGACCCCAAAGGAGGGGCAAAGCCAGGACTCCCAATGAAGAGGAAAGATGGGCACCAGGGTAGGGGGAGAAGAGTGAGAAGTCACCTGAGGGGCTCCGTAAATGTAGAGGACAAGGGGTTCACTCTCAGGGACCACAAACCAGGCCTTGTGCCAGCCCTTGGCACCTTTCTCCATGTAGTGCATGAAGCTGCAAACGAGGCTGTTCTCCGCAGCCACTGATGCTTGTTTCTGGGCCAGGAAGGGAGCCAGGGTTATGGTCAGAGGCCGAAGGAATGGCTACACTGGCTCCCTTCCCCAGGGCCAAGGCCTAAAAGCTCACCTCTAGGATGGAGCGTCTCCGTTGGGGTGTGTTTTGCCCTGGGCTTGGGCTGGGTCCCTGGGCCCCACACAAGGTGGTGTAGCAATCTAGGCACACGCGATTGGAGCGGTTGTTGTCATAGACCAGTCTGGCCCGGAACTCGGAGCACTTGCCGCATACAACCTGGGAGCCAGGCCAGGAAAGACCAGTGGTCAGGGCCCCCAGCCTATTGAGGGGAAGCCAGTGTTGGGAAAAAGGACAGCCCCAGGACAGGGGAGGGGAGGGGAGGCTAGGCCAGGAGAGGAGAGAAAGAAGAAAAAAGTAAATGTGAGGAGGAGAAGCAAGAAGTTGAAGAGGCCAAGCCAAGAGGGTTAGGGGGACGCCAGCCTGAGTGGCTCCCCCCACTTCCCTCCCCCAGGTTGGATCTCCAGAGCCACGTCTACCAATAACGTGTCTGGCCTGGCCTGTACTCACATGGCCACAGGCTTTACAGTGGTGCCTCCGTTTGGTGATCGGGTTGAAGGGTTCCTGGCAGCGCATACACATTGTCACCTCCTTCTCTCGGATGGGCGTTGGGGCACGCTTCCCAAGGTCCACATTCTGGGGGGAACCCCCAGCTTCCAGTGAGGCTCCCTGTGGGAGCACAATGGCTCTCCACCCCCAAGGCTGTAGTCCTCCCTGCCCTACTGTCCTAGCCTCTTACTTGGTGTCCCCCTGCTTCTAACCAAATAGAGGTGCAAGTTCTGTCATTCAAGGCTCTTCATAGTCTGACTCCAGCCTACATCTCCTAGGCTCCTGAGGTATTTGATTCCTACTAACCTGATCTCATGACCTGCCACCACCTTCCCTCTTCCCCATGTGTCACTGCAGGCCACTCCCACAATAAGAGCTCCCTGGGTGGCCTTGGTCAACTTGCTGCCTACCTGGGCCTAAGAATTCCTCCACTGTAAGAAAGGGAGAGGAGAGGGAGGCAGTGGAATGGCAGCAAGGCGCCCCACCCCCCATTACCGGTGAGCTAGGGGGCGTCTCATCCTCCTCTCGGTGGGCGGAGTTAAACAGTCTGAAGGTCTCCAGTGTGCGCTCGTGTTTCATGAGGGTGGCATGGATGGCCTGACAAGGGAGATTGGAGCTCAGAGATGAGAGGTCAGAGGTGAGAGATCCTCATCTCCTCCCAGAAAGGGCTCTGACCACATGGACATGGAAGGAGACTTCTTCCTCATAAGAATTTGGGGCCCACCGAGAGGTCAGTGCTATTCCCTATCCCTATCTTCGGATGCACACACGCACACGCACACACATGAATGGACACATGCACACACTCTCTGTAGAGGGGAAGGCTGAGGAGGCAGAGCAAGAAAGGTTTTGCTCGTGGTCACATAGGGGATCACAGCCTGGATTTCTGGGAAGGGATAGTCTTCAGGGCAGCAAAAAAGGACCCTGGGCTGTAAGCCAGGAGAGTCAGGTCCCAGCCTCAGTCCTGTCACTGACCCATTGTGGGACCCTGGGGACCTACCCCCTCTAGGCCCTTTCTAGAATGGGGTGAGCATTCCTCTCAGAGAAGTTGGGGGGGCTGAGTGCTGCATATGGTGTCCACTTTGTGACAAAGGAGAGTCGTTGGGGAAGGAAGGCTTGGGAAGTCTGATGAAGTGAGAGGGTTCAGTTGGGGGCAGCCTCCCTCCCCCCACCCCTTTCCTCTCTGATCTTTCCCATTCAGCATGCTGACATCATGACTGAGCCAAGCCAAGCTTCACCCCAGCTGCCAGGAGCCAGAGCCGCCAGGGAACTCATTACCTGGATCCAATCTTTCTTCTCCTCTTCAGTCCTGAAAAAAAACCAGACAGAGGAAAAGCTCATTTGTGATAACAACTAGTGACAATCTTCTGCCACCTTGCCAAAAGAGGGGAAGCCACAATGTGGGTAAATGTCACTGTCCAGGGCCACCTCTCATCATTAAGCCATATGGCCTCTATGTGTCCAGCCCATGCCTGGCTCTGGCAGATGCAATTTTTTGGTGGAGAGGGAGAGACAAGAGCTCAGTGGGACCTGTCCACTCAGCACCAGAGCTGCCCTTTGCCTCCAGCCTCATGAAATCAGAGGCATTGCACAAACATTTGAGGAATTGAATCAT